ACAACGGGGAACCGTCGACAAGTCGCTATACTGATGCAACACTGCCCCGGTGAACGTCGTCGATTGCCGGGCATACTGATGTAATACCGCGGGGGGGAACCTGCTCGTTGATTGCTGGCACGTCGATTCGCGAAGTAACCCTACCGCCGATTAAGCCGCGTACTGATTAAAGGCGCATTGATATCGCCGGAGTAGTTACCGCATTAAAGCTGGCATACTTCGATGCACCGGGAACCGCTGTCGATTGCCGGGTATTGTTTCCGATTTAATGCGGGGAACTGACAGCCGATTTAAAAGCTGATGAACACCGTGGAGAAATACCGTATACGATAACATTGCGAGGAAAGCGGCCTGCTGGCGCATGATTGTGATTTACCACGCTGATTGCGCCATGTACCACGTAACACTGCGGAAGGAATGGCTGGCGTACCGCGCATATAGTCCATCGTTGATTGCCGGTATACTGATGTATCACCGTAAAAGAAATCCTGAACGATGGGCGATACTGATGCCGCGGAGAACTACTGCCGATTAAGCCGGGTATTACTGATAACACTGCAGAACTACCGACTGTTGGCATTTCATCACCGTAGAGAACTACTGCTTCGATAAAGCCGGTATTGACAACACCGGGAATCATCGTTTCGAGCCAAAGCCGGGCATACTGACGTATCGCGGGAGGAAATCCGTCGAGCCGGGTTATCGTGGAGACTGTTCATAAGCCGGGTGCCGATTCACCGCAGAAATCACGCCGATTGCCGCGCATTGACGCATCGACCGTGAGAACACCGTGATTAAAAGCCGGTTATTTCGATGTCGAATAATGCGGTCGGCATATCGATGCCGTGGTTCGCCCGCCGATTGGCATTTTCGATGAATATCGGCGTAAATAATATGATTAAAGTTGGCATAATATCGATTGCGGGGAATCAACTGCCGATTGCCGGGCAATTGATGATCGATCGTTCATCGCCGATTGGGCTGGGCTACCGAACAACGATAACCCAACGCCGACCGACGCAACACCGCGATGTCGATTGTCGCACGACGAACCCGCCGACGCCACGACGAACACCCATAACCCACGCTCGCCACCGACGGGGAAAACTCATCGTTTCGGTATTGATGTATCACCGTGGACACGTTGGCGTAATGACGCATCATCGTATGCTCGATGTAACACTGAGGAAATGCCGTAAGCGATACCGCAGAAACCCACCGTTGAACATGGGCATCACCGTACATCGTCGATTACTGCGCTCGATCTATTATCGCGTAACTCATCGTCGATTACCGGGCATACCGTAACACCATCGTTGATTAAGTCGGTGTACTTCGATGCATTGTTGTGAACTCATCGATTAACAGCATACTGATGGTCACCGTGCGAACCATCGTCGATTAAGTCAAGAGAACACGGTGAACTTCGTCGAAATGATGGCATACTTCGATGCAACACCGGGAACCCACCGTCGATACGCTGATATACCAAACGATATCAAACGATTAAAACCGGTTTACTTCGCAACACCGTGAACTCACTGTTGATTACAGCCGCATCACGTGGGGACCCACGTCAAAAGATCGGCAGTAACACCGGAGTAGATTGCGCCGGCATACCAAACCCATCACCGATTAAAGCCATACCGGTGAACCACGTCGATTGCCGGTGCATTGATTGCACCATCGCGGAACCACAGCCGGGCATTCGATGGTCGTCGCGAGGAACTCCACCGTGATTGCCGGGCATACTGACGCAATGTCGATCAGCTGACCGCCCGGATGAACCACCGTTACCTCAAGCTTCGACGCAGCCCACTTCGGGAACTCAATATCAAGCTTCGGCATACTGATGTAACACTTCCCGAAATGCCGATCGCCGGGCGTACCGATGGCCCATTGTCCCACCGCCGATTGCTGACGGCATCAATCGCGAAGAACCATCGTGATTGTGCCGGGCGGACGTAATCAGTCGTTACCTGATAGATTAAAGCCACCGACGAACACTGCGAGAACTTCACCGTCGATTGCCAGGCATTAACACCGCGGAGAATACCATCGCAGAACTCATCAAGCCGGTTATCGATGACGACTGCGCTTCGTCAGCATACTCGACGTCGCTCCGATGAACCACCGATTGCCGGGGATTACCTGACGCACCGTAAATGTCGATCGAGCTGGCACCGTCACATGACGTACCGCGATGAACCACCGTCGATTGTTACATGTTCACCGTGGGGATCGCGCATCGATCACCGCGGAACCACCGTTGATCGCCGCTACACTTCAATGCACGACCGTGAAGAACCACGTCGATTGCACGCATCGCGAACCCATCGCCGACAAGCCGGGTGAATACCGCAATCGACCGCAGAAGTGAAACCGTCACAAAATCCGCGAGATCGCGAAGTGAACCGCGTGATTACCTTTGACGATCGTGAACCCGCCGCCGATTGCCGGTCGAGATTGACAACATCGTCAGGCGAACCCGTCGATTAAAGTCGATATTACCGATGCAACACCGCAGAACTCCTGCCGATTGCGCCAAGATACCGGGATACGATTATGAGCGAACCACCGCCGATCGGGTGTCAGCATGCCGATTTATCACCGTGGGGAATCCCATCGTCGATCGTTGGCTACCGACGTATCACTGCGAGGAACCGTTTCATACCAAACGGATGAAATGGGGATCGTATTCCGATGCATCATCTACCGTCGATTGTCAAGAAACCGCAATATCGCCGATGCCGGGCATTACCGATGCAACACCGCATGGGGAACCCGTCAATAAGCCGGGCATAAGACGACCGCGAAGTTATTATCGTTGCCTCGATGAATACCGTGAGGAAAACCGTTCACCGCCAAAATCGCAGAGAACCGTCGATTGTCAAATCAGAACCCTCATCATACCGACGTATCACCGCAGGGGAAAGTCACTGACGTACCAACCGTCGATTGCCGGGCATGCTTCGATTTACCGGGGAACTCACGTCGATCGCCGCGCACTGATGATCGACCGAAGAACCCATCGTCGATCACCAGTGCTGGTACCGTCGCGACCGTCGATAAAGCCGGGTACTGATAATTGCCGGTTAAATGAAAAGAGAAAACCGTCGAATTTGCCCGCGATACCGATGACCAGCGGAGAATATCGTCGATTGCCGATTATTTTTGACGTTCACCACGAACTCCATCGTCGATTGCCGGCGACACCGACGTTTGAAGAACCCGTCGATTGCCGAGCATCTCCGATAATCGATCGCGGAAGACCGCCGATTAAAGCCGTTGATGGTATGGCGAACCGCCGATTGCTTTCTCGCTTCGACGCGAACGACTCGATCAGCCGCCCACCGCAGAACGCACCGCCTGATGACACCGACGCACCGGTGAAGAACCACCGTCGATTGCCGGGTTGTGCCGACCGACCGCGGAACTCCACCGCGATTACAACACCGCGAGAACTCTGTTCATCAAGCCGTTGTTTATCATCGCACCGTGAGGAAATGCCGATTGCGGTTACGTTTCGATAACACGTAGAACCCACGCCGGCATTGACGAATCACCGTATGAGAAACCGTTAAGTCGTTAATACTGACCGCGATGAAATACCGCCGACGCCGTGATTACGCTTGATCACCGCCGATCGTCAGTACCGACCGCCGGAGCGAACCCCACCGATCGCCGAGCATTACCCGACGCAACGACCGCGGAGAACTCCCGTCGATCGGTGCCGGGCTATTACCGATGAACATTGGCGGAACAAGCCGCTACGCCTGACGCATCATCGAAGCCGGCATACTGATCGCTATGGGGAAAACGTCGTTTCGGTCAGCTCGATGAATACCGCCCGGAGCCATCGCCGATCAGCCAGATTGACGAAACTCCACCGACGTAACACCGCAGAGTCAGTCGATTGCCGTATACACCGATATCCACCGCGAAGTCGGGCGACGCAACACCGAACACCGTCAATCAAGCCCCAGCACCGACGCATCGCGCGGTACCGCAGAACCATCGTCGATCGGCCGTGATTGACGATAATCGTGAACCCACCGCCGATCGAAAGCCCGGGCATACTGATGGGTATCACCGCAGGAAAACCGCGCCAGCATACTGACGTATCACCGAATACCGCCAACACGTGGGGGAACTGCCGGGGCCAGCCGATTAAAGCTGTATGGCCGGGTGGTGAACTACCGTTGATTGTTGGCAAGAAGGAGCCATCACGTGGGGAACTGTCGCCGACAAGCCGCACGATAACGGCGAGGAAAACTGTCAAAATTAAAAGCTGGCATAATGCAGCGACCAGCGAACCAATGATTGCCGCTGACGGGGAACTCCATCAAGTTCGGCATACCGATGCATCATTGAGCGAACCGATCGCTTGTTGTTCTCGCGGGAGAACTGCCGACAAAGTCGCTGATGTACCGACGTCAAAACCTTACCGCCGATTACAGCCGCATACAACATTGCGGCGAACTACCGCCGATTGCCGGATGTACGTGGGGAATACGATGTGCCGGGTGTAAGCCGTAACGACTGTCAGAAACTCACGGCGCCGCGCTACTGATGTCATCAAAGAGGGGAACTCACCGTTGTTGGCATACTGATAACGATTGCGTTGGCAGCTGATGTGGGAACTGGTCAGTTGATACAGCCAGCATGTTTCGAGGAACATGGGGAACTCATCGCCGATTACAGCTGGCATAATGTCAGAAACCTTACCGTTAGCGCCTGATGGTGCCGGGCATCGTGGGGAATCGCCAGCATTTCGATGTACCGTGGGGAACTCACCGTTGATTAAAAGCCGGCGGTTCACGGGGAATTTATCGTTGATTGTTGGTATGGCTCGATGTAATACGTGGGGGAAACGTTGAGGTGCCGGGCACACCGTAGAACCAAAGCCGGACAATAAGCCGGCATACCGTAACACTGGGTAATCTGCCGTTGATTAAAAGTTGGCATACCTCGATGCGTTCGATCTCGTGAGAACTACCATGATTAAAAGCCGCGACAGGAAATTACCGTCGATTGCCGTTGCTGCTCGATGCAACATCTTCGTGGGGAACCCATCAGCCGGTTACCGCCAGCCGGGTATCGGTAGGGGAACTCATCAGTGCCGATTTCCAAGCCATTGATGCATCATCTTCGGGGAACTCAATGTCGATTGCCGGGCATACTTCGATATCAGAATAAACAGCCGGGCATACCGACGTTCACGTTGCATCATCAGCATACTCGATGACTGCAGAACCCACCGTTGATTACAGCCGGGTTATTACTTCGACGAAGTACCGTCAAGTTATTACTTCGATGCAATAATGGGGTCCATCGCCGATTGCCGGGCATGGAGGTGATTGCGTAGAAACTCATCAAGTCGATTTCGGCATACTACCGTAAAGAACCTGCCGTATTAAAGCCGTGGGTATGCTGGTACCGATGGTTCACTGCAAGGGGAAACTACCGTGCCGATTGTTGGCGAGCGATTGCGGGGAACTCCGCCGTTGATTGTTGGCATATTTCGATGCACGACTGTGTAAACATTGCGCCGGGTTATTGTTTCGATAAACATTCTCGGTAGAACCTGCCGTCGATTAAGCTGGCATTACTTCGAGGGAACATTGCGGAGCCGATTAAAGCCGGGCATATCCCATTGCCGATTGCCGGGCATTTATAACGATCTTCAGTTAAATTTACCGTTGATCATTAAAGCCGTTACCGAATTGAAAACTCATCGTTGATCATCGTGATCAATATCGCCGTTGACGGCATCACCGCGAGTGTAGTTCAATGCCGATTGCCGTTCTTCCCGATTTATCACCGCAGGAACCATCGCGATCGCCGCACACTGATGTATTCGTCGAAATAAAGTTCGCGGCAGAGACAGAAATACGCCCCGAGTTCGAGGAGCCATCGCAATCTCATCTCGAGTATATTCACGTCTGATCGAATCGTTACCTTACAGTCAACAAAAGCGAAAGTAAATCAACATCATGTTCTTTATTCATCATCATTACAGTCGTACACGGGCAATACGTATATCGAAAGGCTGCTGTGACATATCGTTCGTCTCGACCGAACAAAGTCTCATCGAAACAAAACGCATCATAGATGACCGCGAACGCATGCCCGATGCGTATAATCCGTTAAAGTGATATGACTTTCGCGACGCTCCTGCGTCCGTGATCGACATGATTAGATACGATGCATGCAACCCGCCATCACGCATCATACGATTGAATATCACGACATGCCTCGCCGAGAACCGAGTGGCGGTTGGTCTCGTCTCGAAGTTGAGTCGCCAGGCGAGGATTTACCATCCGACGTTGAACCGGCAGCTGGCGCCGAGATGAAAACATCGCTAACAGTTTACCAAAGTATCATCGCTGTTCATCAAGCCCAACCCACCGAATCGGTAGCCAGTGGTTATCACTGTCCGGCATCAAACATATCATTACGCTTGCCGTAACCAAAACATAACATTGCACAAATCAATTTTGTAACGCTCTACTGGTCATCTACTGGGGATTAATATCACTGAGAACAATTGCGCCAGCTGAAATTACCGTTACCGTCTATATTTCGGCACCGATAATCAACGAAATATTCACAAACCCTTAATGTTCGACTTCCGCACAAAAGAAGCCGAGAATTCAACATTTATCAGCAAATGACAATACGTCCTTTCTCGTCCATTAATGCTGCGACGCACGTGCCACGATGCTTAGCATACGATCAGTTTCGACATCATTCATTCGCATGATTTCGAAATGAATGATCATTGATTGTCAGCGCGGTGCGATAGAAGACAGAAGTCAGCCATGGTGCCAGCCATCATTGCCAGGTTGAAGTCAGGATTGCCGGCTGAAAACCATGATCTAGAAACCGAAATAATCACCATGCTCAGTAGCACACCCGACTGAATACGCGCGAATCGAAACGGTAATTCACGGAACATGCATCCGCACTGTTTCACGCTGCGCCACGGCACCGAATATCGCGTTAGTGACGATACCGGCATTTCACCTTTTCCACCGCACCCGTCAATCGGTATCCTCAAAGCCCGATCAGTTACTCGAAAGCACCGAAACCCTTCCTTCATAAAGCAGTACGATGCCCATTTCAGCGTTAAATACGTTCCATGCCTGGCTCAGTTGTAGCTCCACAACCATGGAACATTTAACATTTCACCATTGCCGCTATCGTCGACAACCTTCATTGTCATCACGAAAACGAAGTTTCTCGTCGTCATTTCACTGTCTACTTCTCCGCATGATGTCATTGATGCTTCCTCTGGTATCAACGTCCCGTTAATATCAATGTTTCAGTTATACACCAGAAAGCCGCATAATCTGAAAAGGGGCAGCGCATAGCGGGCGACGGGCGTTTTCAGCCAGTCGCCAAAATAATTGCAGTAAGCGGCGAGCGCCGCCAGTTTCGTTTGCCGCCAGTTGGCATGGCGGTGTCTCTACCGAGTTCATCAGTAGTGGCAGAAGACGATCGCCAGCAACGGGAACCGATTATCGTCACCGTCAGCATCGTTTTCCGACCACCGATTCCGTTGGGTTTCAAGATGTTACGGTTACCGAAGACTGGTCAACTCGACCGCCGTTAACGATCTCAGTCGTCTCAGCCGAAATTGCGCTTGAAGTTCTCGAGCAACCAGCCCCGCCATCCAGCCGATCACCAAAACCGACCATGGTTTATATCCACATTTTATCCCAAAGCGCACTCGTCAAACGTAGAATTCCCGGCATCAGTCGCACCGTCACATGATCGCATCGCACGTTGAAGATTCAGCAAAGAGACGAGTTAACGGCGAAAATTCGAGCAAGACGCGAAGGTCAAGACAAAGTAGCGCAAACAAATTATGATAAACGCATCAATGTAATGTATCACAGTCAACGAAAGCACAACGGCGAAAAAGAACACCAGCATCGCGTTGCAATCGGCGACGAGCAGAATCAGGCCGCTGGTAAGCCCCGCCCTCAATCGTTAATCGATCCGCGACTGGTCAATACGCGTCCGGCATCATTACGCATTCATTTCGCTTCATGTTGCCGTTAACGCCTGGTGTCACCGTTTTGGCACCATTTGAAGCTCCTGCGCTTAACCACTTTGAATGACCACATTAAAACATGTGCACCGAATGACCTCGCCGAACATTCATCAAAACAATGATAAAGCCACGCACCGACACCAGAAAACCCCATTCGCAAAGAAACCACGTCATTAAACACAATGTTATATTGCCGCCATCGCGCCTGCTTAAATATATCAAGAAATTCGTTGCCCGACAAGCGTGCGCCATGCCGTTATTGGCGATACGTTTATCACACCTTCGTGCAAGTCGCGCTTATCTCCGCTCGCGGGTCTTCAATAACGGCTAATTGCAACGAATACTAAACAGAAGCCGACGATATGATGCAGAGCAAAACAAAACAGAAATAAAGACATGCGCGAAGCAACCGAACACAGCAGCAATGTAATGCACAGCAAGGAAGAAACCAAGAGTGAAGAGCTACGATAAATACGGAACAGCTGGTTGATGAAATAACGCAACCTTACTACGATGATGTTCAGTTCTTCAACTACAACAGTCGATCTCCGTTCAAAGCATGTCGAACCACACCGCAGATTGCGCACCATGACGATACACGACGTCAATCTTCGATACCAGTATATCACCTACCGTCAACCGTAAAGAAGAAAACGAAACAAATGAACATGGAATACCGATAACCGTAGTATCAGGTTAGAATAGGTAACGTCACCGCCCGCAGTTATGGAACAACACGATAGTTGCTCGCGCCCGTTGGCACGGTTCGAAATCACGCCACTTCATCGTTCAATATTTTGACGACAAAGTCCATATTTCGCCCAGCGGCAACATCAATAATCGTAGAGGCAATCGTAAATAGAGCAATACTCAACAATATGAAATTTCATTTTATCTCAATAAGTTCATTTAATACCAGTTCTCCATCGACAGCCATTACGATTAAAGCGTATCGAAGCGACTCTTTCAGAAAGCCACCCCATCAGCGTCGTTAAAATTAGTACCGTTACCAATAGGTTACGGAAGTCATGCATCAAATGACAAACCGACTGTTAATTCAGCAGTGCGCAAACAGTAAACGAGCAGAAAATCACCCTAATAGTCTGTTGGGATACGCGTCGCCCGAATTTCGTAAACACCGATATAAGGATTCATTGATGCATCAGAAAACTGTAAAATCTTAGTTTAATAGATGAAATAACCGAGTATATTGAGATGTTTCAACATTACGAACCTCGGCACTTCGCACTTCATTGTCATACGACGATCAATATTTTAAGCTTATTATTGCGTTAACCAATGAAAACGACAAATACCACCGAGTTTGAGGGTGCTAATTTATTTGTTTATCGCGCGGTAAACAGATACTAACCGAGATAAATACCAGGTTGGAATCGAGCACCAATGACCAAAACGCAACATGTAAGGACCGTCAATTCTCGGTATGATTCCGTCACCCGATTGTTTTATCAAAGATGTTAATATCAACAGCATGTTACCAGAAAGACCGTAAAGATACGACATAAAGATTGTTCCTCATCTTCTCATTCGGCGGTCACGTCAGAAGCATCTTCACGAGTAATTTGCCAGTGAACGAAAACAGTACCAAATCGAAGCAGCTGCATTTCGGTTCGCCAGGTCGATTTGGTAATTGAAGATGGCGACTTCCGCTCGTAGGCAACACCGAAACCATTCGAGAAGTTAAAAGTCGTCCAAACTTCGAAAAGGGTCAGAAACAGAGCTCGATAACGAATTCAACTCATCACCATTCGTGCCGATGACGAAGAAGACATTGCAATCAATTTTGATATCTGCGTCAGCATTCTTTCCAGCGGTAGAGATTGAATCATCGATCGTGAAAACATACTCTCCATTACAGCCGGTCACCACAATGATCGAACAGCATCATGCTGACGCAAAACACCAGTCATGCTTCAGTAACTGCTAAATGCTTATTATTGTGTGAATAATGTTTATAAAAGTTACTTGTAAAAACATACCATCGCGGGCACGGACCCCGATGGGTATTCGTTTCAGCGAAAACCGCAATCATTCCTGACTATATATGACGGAGGTTTCGTCCAACAAAAATGGTTGCACGCTTATCTTCATTGACTCGAGTCGCGAACGTAATAATCAAAGACGGCATCTTCGTTCAGGTCATCTTTCATCAATAGTGGGCGAGAAAGCAGACGAAAATACATCCGCGACCTCGAAATAACATATATATATGACAGATTAATTGAAACCGCACATACTTTCGTATACGAAGTTTGCTATGGCGGCCAAGATACTGCGCAGTTCCGATGTATCAGTTAAGACAGTGATTTGAAAACACAAAAATAAAATGATCGATCATAGCGTTTCATCTTCTTTGCACACACAACTTCATGCTCCAACGATATACGCCGGATGATGAACGTTGGCGCAACATTAGAGCGCATAATTTGACAGAGCGTTAAGCATTAATTCGAAGTTCAATAGAGATCGCGGTTCATTGGGTAAGACTGCGTGAAGCGTCATTTCAAAGTCATACGCAAACAAGGTCCTCTGTCCAGAAGTTCAATATGCGGTTCTTTGATACCAGCGTAGCACGGTTTCAGATCACTGGCGATGTACACTCGGCCCGGACTCAAACTAGGTTCTCAGCCAGTGCCTGGGACCACTTCTGACGATCGCGCTAACAGATTCACCAGTTATCATTGTCAATGGTTAGCAAAATTCATTCTCATTAATACGCGCCATTGTCTAAAAGGTGCTTGCGTCCATTGCGACGGTTCTCAGCAACGTCAGCATCATCGACGATGGTTAATGATAACAGTTAATAACGAATGAGATGTCGAATGCCGTCTGGCGAAACGTTTCGAAATTTAGGCGGTGCGCAAAGTTTCGGTAAAATGAATGTCGTACGATTACGCCGGCGTAAAGCAGCTGATCGTAGCGTTTTTCAGAAGATAAATGGAGAAGCGTTGATGGCAACGTTGCGTTTTAGTTGAGGGAGGAGTCCCGACGAAATGCGCACGTGAAGTCGAGTTATTGTCATGTTGAATGACCATTGCCGACGTTGATGAAGTGAACGACGCGACGTTGTTATAAGCGAACCCCAGCTCGTCGTCTCCGTCAGCGCAATAAAGAAGGTTCGCTACATCACCAAATTCCGCTATCGGCGGTGTTCAGCCAGTGACGTTCGAACTGAAATCATTCCGGAGGTGTTCGGCAATACTCGCAGTCATATTGATGAACTGGTCTTCGGGAAATATTTACAGTAGTCGGTGAATTGTTGAAGAAATCTGAGAAAGTCGGTGAACGATACCGGATGTATCCTGGCGGTACCTGGGTCCACTTCAGAAACAGTGGTCCATAAGTTTAGATATGACGCTGCGATGATATGTCGATGGCGCCGTCTGTTCCAGGTTATAATGTATTGGAGTACCGTTGATTTCGATGAAAGCTTCCGAATAGATAAGCCATTGGCCTTCATGATACGTTCGATTGCGATTCGTCATAACGTATGTTTTTACTAATGTGTTTAACGTTTTGTTCTTGTCAATATTCATGGATTGTTTGTGTCAAGTATTCTTAAATTACCAGCTCTGAAATAAATTTTGAAGAGTTATTGAACCAACAGTTTATCGTTTGAAATATGGGGAAATAATCAGAACAATATTCATATTGTTTAACTGCTAAACTATTGGTTCAAATATACCAAAAAAAGAAATTTGACATAGGAACAATTTGAATTTTAGGAAAATACTTGACACAAACCAATCCATGCTGAATCCCACCATGTGGAGGAATGGTTACACAAGACAAAACGTTAAAAAGAAACACATTGAACAAAACGTAACGTTACACTCACGTTTGTAGTGAATCGCTAAAACGCAATCAAATGAACGTGCATCATGAAATTGTGTACCACCCCGAGCTGAAGCCTATCTATTCAGGCTTTAAAAAGTCAAATCAACGGTACTCCACATGCATTGCTTTAAGCCACTATAGACGACCAAAAAAAGCCAAGACGGACAGAAGCTCAACGACACAATGCCATCGGCCGCTAACAAGGAGGGGCATCGCAGCATGAGGTCGCAAGGCACTTCGGCGTGTCCAGACAGACTATCCTAAACTTATGGACCTGATACAACAACTCTGGGAGTGTTAATGACGGACCCAGGTCAGGTCGACCAAGAGTTACCACTGCCGCCCAGGATGGCTACATCCGGTTGACACATCTTCGTTCACGCACCACGACCGCAGGATCCACAACAACCCAAATCCCTCGACTGCGCCGAGTCAGTGACCAGAATGTGCGCATCGGCTACGAGAAGCCAGACTTTTTCCCAGAAGACCAGTTCCTCGTAACACCTTGACTCCGGGTTGAGTGTGTACAATGGTGCAGACAGCGACTGAGATGGCCGCGGGCAAGATGGAGGACAGTTTCCTTCTCAGATGAGTTTGATGGACGTTCACGTGTATACAGACGTCGCAACGAACTTTACGCCGATAGCTGTGTACAGCAGGTTGATAGATTTGGTGGTGGAAGTGTCATTGTGTGAGCAGGTATCCATCGTTATGGCCGGACAACTCTTGTGCACATGGCAGGTGCATTGAATGGGGTTCGCTATAGAGACGAGTTTTTACAACGTCACGTCGTTCCCTTCATCAACGTCAACCGTGGATCATTCCAGCATGACAATGCTCGACCTCACGTTGCACGTGTTTGTCAGGACTTCCTCCTCCAGCAAAACAACGTCTCAGGTGTTACCATACGGCCTTCTCGATCACCCGATTTGTCCCCATTGAACATCTATGGAAAAACCTTGATCAACGCTTACGCCAGCGTAATCGGCAACCTAGGACACTACAAGAACTGCACGCAGCACTTCAGCAAGAATTTCAAAACATTCCCAAGACAGCATTCGGCATCTCTATTTCGTTCCCATTGGCTGCCGCTGCCTAGCTGTTATCGATGCTCATGATGGTCACAGCATCAGATACTGACATTTTACTCTGACCAAGTGGCTTTTAATAGCCATATCTGTGGTTTTACCAAACACCTTTTTAGATAATCATGTTTTGAATATGTGTAAAGTGAAGATTTTACTGTAATTGAGCAATGATGTCTTGTTTGAATCTGTTATATGATCTCAGTAAATGAAGTCCAAAAACAGCATGTCAGGCTTCTTTTTGAAGAGTATAGTTTAGGTCGGAATCTTTATTGGGAGTATACATGTAGTGGGTACTGCTAAGAGCCATTGTTGCTATTTGCTTAGGTAAGATCCAGAACCACGCATGTGGGTACTTCCTGACAAGGACCTTGTTGTTTACTTGCCAGGTACATGCAGTATGACGTAACGTGGTACAGTGACCTTCACACTGGAGTTAAGTCTCGTGGTCGTCCTCCACCTGACGTTTTCCCTCTTAATGGACCCTCACAGTGAGGTTTCTTCCTTTTATTGAACTGAATTAATACTTTAACACTCTATCAAATTGTCACTCTAATGTTATATAGTGACGTTCCTTCATCAACAATATATGTTGACATAGCAAGAGTTATTATTGTGCAAGATAAGTATATGTCCGATCAGGTACGATTTTTGTATTTTCAAATCTACTGTCTGCTCATTTGATACATCAATGATTAACACCCATCATTTTGCACCCCTAATTATCTTGGCCACCATATATATGTATCATACCTAATGTTTTATTTACCTTTTAAACCCAAGCTTCATGTATCTAGAAAATATGTACAGCTTCATTAATCGGTATCTGTATCATATATATGTATTATTTCGAGTCTGGTGGATGAAACTAACTGGACATGATTTCGTCCTGCTTTACTTCAACCTGTGATGAAGGTGGCTCTATAACAAGACAGAGATACCCGTCTTTGGCTACAACCCGTTCTGGTAAGTCAGGTCAATGAAGAGTCAGCTTTTATAGACATGCAATATTTTTATTTAAGGACTGTAAACCTCCAGTCATATATGAATCAAGAATGATTATAAATACTTGTTGAACAAAACCGAAAAGCAACAAAGACCCAGCCCGGATTAAAACAGTCACATCAGGATTATAAGAAACGATGCCCTTGATGGGTATTTAAGATATGGAATGTTTTTACTTAGCAAGTAGCTTTTGCAAACATTATTCTTTAATGTAAACATTTATAGTTACTGAAACATGTTCCAGTTAGTTTTGCTACGTCAATATGGTCTGTTTCTAATTGTGTTTTGAATCATTGTGGTTAGGGCCAGCAACACAACCTACGCAAAGGCTAATGGAGGAGAGTATGACTTCCTGATCGATGGTCCAATGTCTCTACCACTGGAAGAGGTACTGACGCTACTGGATATGGCATGTAAATTGGTACAATGAAATACTTTTTCTTCTTCAATCATCATCTGAGATGGGAATTTGATGGGTTGTTCCAAATTCCATTTATGAACTGACGAACCTGTGTTTCTGATTACTTTTTCAGAGATTTTGGACTGACTTTGCTCGCAGGTGGAAGGACATGGGGATTGATTGCCTACGAACAGGTAACACCCATCTCTAATTACCAAATGTGATAACTATATCAGACCAGAGTACATGCTTGTTTAATTTTGTTTCGTTTCTGTAGGATTACCTCGATGTAGAATTTGAAGGAATCCAAAAGCTCCTGACTGACATTGACCTTGGCCGCCAATGGCTGACTCAGATGGGGAATGGGGCTGCCAAGAACGGGTTGACCATCCAGTACTGCATGTCTTACCCACGTCATATGCTACAGTCTCTGGAAATACCTGTCGTCACACAGGTGAGAGGGAATAGGGTTTGTACGCTGATATTAGCTATGTTTGATCAAGAGTAAATCGGGTGTGAGTGAGCGAAAGACGGACAGGTTCAGATATACCGAGTGAGCGAGAGTGCTACATGACGTTTTGGGTCATTGAGTTATGTTCCAGCCTGTGTTTATCTCAGTTGAGTATCCTAATTTTCCTTTGAGTAACCAAATAAATTGTACCCACCCCACTCAAACTCAATTGGGTATTTTGTCATTTTCCATTAGTTGTACAAATATAATAAAGCTTAAATGTTATTTATATTGGATCGGTAATATGAGAAACAATAAGAAAGATTGCAAGTTGCCAGGTTCATGTGTTGAAATAGAACCTCTCAATATACCTCAGTTATTTCATCTATATTACCGGTACGGAAGCTAAGATTTGAAGTTTTGTGTGTACGCATGTAAGATCAAATATATCGAGTATTTACAAAAATTCAAGCGTACTTGTACTCAATAGACCTAATAAGAATTGAGTTTTCACATACATATTTGCGTAATTTACGCAGATATGCAGCTTATCTATACCTTTCTGGATTTTGCTAATTTACACCTGCACGGGACATGCTGAAGGAGGATAAATTAGCAATTGAATCGGACATCATTTGTCACATGACTTCCATGAAGCCTGTGTGAATTTAACCGAGGCCCTTGAATTTTGTAACCTTGATGGAACAACTTCGAGAAAGAGTCCTTCGATGCACTTTGAAATCGTAGTAAACAGAGTATGTTCAGTTCTATCTCAAATGTTGTAAAATTTAAACAACAAATGGTAGAACTGTGGGAATAAAATGAAATTTCACCATTGAAAAGTTCACTGTCCCTCTTATCATGCAGTTTTGAGGAGAGCTTCGATTTATTTTGAAAACAGGTGAGACAGCCTGAATGGTCTGCTCTATTTCTATTTTATCGGCCTCTTTTTTCTACATCTGGAATGTACTCTAACTACATTTGCCTCTCTACAATGTTTGGTCGTGATGACGCCACAGAAACAGACCAAAATATGGACTTTGTCATCCAAAATATTGAAACAAATGAAATGTATGTTTCAGGCTCGTGCAAGCCATGACAACGTACCAGGCACCGACAACTGGAAGATCGGTGTGACATCACTATTTGCATGGGCAATTGGCATTGCACCCTTCAAGGATATTTTCTGGACGACCAGCGTTCAGCCTGGAAATACTTACAGTATGGTGAAAACTAGTTCCGAATCCGCATCAATAGTTCATCTTCATTTGTTTCGTTTTTTTCTTCTTCCCAGAATGCCTTGTACAGTTGAAAATGTGTAACAGGTATTATACAAAATTATGTTGTAGAAGACTTGGTGAAGACACATCGTATATCGTCACTGATTATTGTGTTGCAGAATCCTCGGATCCATACACGGCCCTTAATGCTGTGGTTGCAACCTTAAGCACAGGACCAGTTGGAATCGGTGACATGGTTGGGGGCACAAACAAGACACTCATCATGAAGTAGGTTGCACGTTCTTTATTTCATCCAACCATCTTCTTAGCCTGTATGTTTCCATATTTATCCATATGTGTTCCTGTAATCATAGTTTGTACTTCTTTATTTATTATTATTACTTCTGTGTTCAGTTTTGCTTCGCACATGTGTATCTTTATTTCCTATTTTGATTTTTTTGTTACTCCTGCATATGTTATCGATCGCTTCTGTTTTAAGTATTCATTTTTAATTATATATACGTGTAGAGAGATTATTACACAAGCAAGTGTGTCATATGACTTACACGAAAAGAGTGTGAAATTGTGTATGCTCATAATACTAACATATCACACACTTGCTCGAGTGTAATAATTTCTTATTATCCATTTCATTCATGTATATTTGTAAAACACGGTAAGCAAGTTTGACGGCCCTCTTTATTGACGTCACGCTCAATTGTTTAATGACGTGGTTTTTGTATTTCTTTACACGAATCGGAGTTTTCTACTGAGGATAGTCAGTACGTAGCTATGCATTGTCCTTTTATTAGATAATTCAACTGGGTCGATGCTCAGTTGCATATTTTAGTATGCTGAGTCAGCTACAAAATAGATAGTTAAATACCGACTCCAAATGTGTTGTAAAACAAATTTATTTTCCAAACGTTTTTCTTTAACATATAAGCAATAAAAGATACATGTAATTGCAGACACATGTTGTGAATGCCAGATGTTAACGGTGAGGCAGGGCTTGCCAACCTAATTCTCTTTTTCTCGGCTGTCATCACTGATTTTAACACCTATGACTGGATATTCTTTTACACCGACGTTTTATATTTACTCCTGTTCATGCTTTCATTGTCTAATTCACGCTCTCTTTGTATTTGTATTAATTACGTTTACTCATATAATTTGTTTACATATGTTTTTCCTTGTTATCTAATCTATCTTGGTACTCACGTCTATAGATTTTCACCGTTGCTTCATCTCTTGCATAGATCTGTAAATACTGACGGTCTGATCCTGAAACCATCTCGACCGGCGACTTCAATTGACAACAGAATACGGAGGGTACCTGTGCACAACCTTTCTGACAAATTACACTAACACAGTCCCATCGTTTGGAGTGAACCTCATGCATATATAGTCAGTTTTGTTGATCAGAAGTAACAGTTGAGTACTTAGCAGGGGAGCTAGTTACTCGAAAGGGCTTAAACAGTTCCAACAAGACTGACTGAAGTCGTGCAATATATACCCGTGAGGGTCCAGGTTAGAATATTGATCTTCAGTAACCCATGCTTGTCGTAAGAGGCGACTAACGGAATCGGGTGGTCAGGCTGTCTGACTTGGTTGACATATGTCATCGGTTCCCAGTTGCGCAGATCGATGCTCATTCTGTTGATTACTGGACTCTCTGGTCAAGACTCGATTATTTAGAGACCGCCGCCATATAGCTGTAATATTGTTGAGTGTGGCGTAAAACTAACAGCACTCACTCACTTACTCACTCCTGCAAATTATTTTAGCAACCTAACAAAGCACCCATCTGCCCACTATGCGCTACCCCTTTGAATACCCTTCAAGTTATACGGCTTTCACAGATTACACTATATAGCTCACCAATATGAATTTAAACATTGATGATAACAGGACATTATTAAACTGCTGCTGTTGTGATTAGAAGAGGGCTTATCCAATGGTAAATAACATAAAACTACGAATGCAATGATAGACACGAATGAAATGACTTGATACAACTGAAAACTTCATATTTTGCATGTTTTCATGAAATGACATAAAATACCTTTTTACAATGAAAGGTTTATCATTGTGCAACAATGGGCATCATACTACAGCTTGAAATGTTAAATGTTATGGTAACAAGGTATGACCGAAGGTTAATGCCTACTTAAATGACATAGAACGGCATATTTAACACCCTGAAATGACATCAAATACCTTTATAGAAAGGAAGGTTTTTATTGTCATGAATACTTTCAAGATGGCTTGGTCAGACTTTGAGGGTCCTGATGGGGAGGTGTGGTCCACGTATTCAGATTTTGGTGGAAAGAACAAGTACGGTATCATCCTCGCTGCAGATCTTCAGGGAAACTACACCATGACACCTTGCATGGCTGGATATCAAGGGGTAGGACATTACGTTTCTTCTTCCCTTATTTCTACTGTCACATGATTCCCGTAGATTACCGTTTCGGTTCACCTGTAATTAGTCAGGTGTACTACTGACATGAAAGTGAATATTTCCAGTTTCCTACGTCCATGGTTTTCCCAGCCAGCAATCCCAACAAGATCCAACCATTGACAGACCCCCAACCTTTGACAATGAGTGGCTGTACCATGGCTGACTTCTGTCTCTTCTATGTATCACCTGTACTGAGCATCAATGAGTAGGTGTATTCCTTCATTTCAAATCATGCAGATATGAATAAATATCAAAACTGATCCAATATACTAAGCACATCAATATTAACTGTGCGATATAAATAGTCTAACATTATGGACAGAAAGGACATGTGTCATTTGATAAATGCTTGAACGTGATGCACAGAATTCTGAGAAGCTTCTTTTGTGCACTTTCATAGAGGTCCAGACATTAAAAGGGTTTATCTTAATGAAGCAGTGAATATTTGTTGAAGTTATCAGGGAAGGTACCGAAATATCGATGAGTAGACATGATAATTTCTCAAACTGTAAGCACAGATGACCTCAAGTGATATTAATCCCAAATAGGATACATTGTAAACAAACGTTACAAATTTGGTTGTACAATGTATATTTTTAGTTGCAACTTAAAGAAACAAAAGCGTGTCAACAGTAGATTCCCCACGAGTGATACATCAAGTATACCCAGCTTTAATCAACAGTAGGTTCCTCCACGAGTGATACATCAAGTATACCCAGCTTTAATCAACAGTAGGTTCCCCACGAGTGATACATCAAGTATACCCAGCTGTAATCAACAGTAGGTTCCCCCCACGAGTGATACATCAAGTATACCCAGCTTTAATCAACAGTAGGTTCCCCACGAGTGATACATCAAGTATACCCAGCTTTAATCAACAGTAGGTCTCCCCAACGAGTGATACATCAAGTATACCCAGCTTTAATCAACAGTAGGTTCCCCCCACGAGTGATACATCAAGTATACCCAGCTTTAATCAACAGTAGTTCCTCCCACGAGTGATACATCAAGTATACCCAGCTTTAATCAACAGTAGGTTCCCCCCACGAGTGATACATCAAGTATACCCAGCTTTAATCAACAGTAGGTTCCCCCACGAGTGATACATCAAGTATACCCAGCTTTAATCAACAGTAGGTTCCCCACGACGAGTGATACATCAAGTATACCCAGCTTTAATCAACAGTAGGTTCCCCCCACGAGTGATACATCAAGTATACCCAGCTTTAATCAACAGTAGGTTCCCCTCACGAGTGATACATCAAGTATACCCAGCTTTAATCAACAGTAGGTTCCCCACGAGTGATACATCAAGTATACCCAGCTGTAATCAACAGTAGGTTCCCCACGAGTGATACATCAAGTATACCCAGCTTTAATCAACAGTAGGTTCCCCACGAGTGATACATCAAGTATACCCAGCTTTAATCAACAGTAGGTTCCCCACGAGTGATACATCAAGTATACCCAGCTTTAATCAACAGTAGGTTCCCCACGAGTGATACATCAAGTATACCCAGCTTTAATCAACAGTAGGTTCCCCCACGAGTGATACATCAAGTATACCCAGCTTTAATCAACAGTAGGTTCCCCCCACGAGTGATACATCAAGTATACCCAGCTTTAATCAACAGTAGGTTCCCCCACGAGTGATACATCAAGTATACCCAGCTTTAATCAACAGTAGGTTCCCCCACGAGTGATACATCAAGTATACCCAGCTTTAATCAACAGTAGGTTCCTCCCACGAGTGATACATCAAGTATACCCAGCTTTAATCAACAGTAGGTTCCCCACGAGTGATACATCAAGTATACCCAGCTTTAATCAACAGTAGTTCCTCCCACGAGTGATACATCAAGTATACCCAGCTTTAATCAACAGTAGGTTCCCCCACGAGTGATACATCAAGTATACCCAGCTTTAATCAACAGTAGGTTCCCCACGAGTGATACATCAAGTATACCCAGCTTTAATCAACAGTAGGTTCCCCACGAGTGATACATCAAGTATACCCAGCTTTAATCAACAGTAGGTTCCCCCCACGAGTGATACATCAAGTATACCCAGCTTTAATCAACAGTAGGTTCCCCCCACGAGTGATACATCAAGTATACCCAGCTTTAATCAACAGTAGGTTCCCCCCACGAGTGATACATCAAGTATACCCAGCTTTAATCAACAGTAGGTTCCCCACGAGTGATACATCAAGTATACCCAGCTTTAATCAACAGTAGGTTCCCCCACGAGTGATACATCAAGTATACCCAGCTTTAATCAACAGTAGGTTCCCCACGAGTGATACATCAAGTATACCCAGCTTTAATCAACAGTAGGTTCCCCCACGAGTGATACATCAAGTATACCCAGCTTTAATCAACAGTAGGTTCCCCACGAGTGATACATCAAGTATACCCAGCTTTAATCAACAGTAGGTTCCCCACGAGTGATACATCAAGTATACCCAGCTTTAATCAACAGTAGGTTCCCCACGAGTGATACATCAAGTATACCCAGCTTTAATCAACAGTAGTTCCCCCACACGAGTGATACATCAAGTATACCCAGCTTTAATCAACAGTAGGTTCCCCACGAGTGATACATCAAGTATACCCAGCTTTAATCAACAGTAGGTTCCTCCACGAGAGTGATACATCAAGTATACCCAGCTTTAATCAACAGTAGGTTCCCCCACGAGTGATACATCAAGTATACCCAGCTTTAATCAACAGTAGTTTCCCCACGAGTGATACATCAAGTATACCCAGCTTTAATCAACAGTAGTTCCTCCCACCAATGATACATCAAGTATACCCAGCTTTAATCAACAGGAGTTCCTCCCACGAGTGATACATCAAGTATACTCAGCTTTAATCAACAGGAGTTCCTCCAACGAGTGATACATCAAGTATACCCAGCTTTAATCAACAGTAGGTTCCCCCCGTGAGTGATGCATCAAAAATATCCCCAGCTTTAATCAACAGTAGTTCCTCCGCTAGTCATACATCAAGTATACCCAGCTTTAAGCAACAGTTTTTCCTCCTCACGAGTGATACATCAAGTATACCCAGCTTTAATCAACAGTAGGTTCCCCCCACGAGTGATGCATCAAGCATACCCAGCTTTAATCAACAGTAGTTCCTCCCACGAGTGATACATTTAGTATACCTAGCTTTAATCAACAGTAGTTCCTCCCACGAGTGATACATCAAGTACACCCAGCTTTAATCAACAGTAGGTTCCCCCCACGAGTGATGCATCAAGCATACCCAGCTTTAATCAACAGTAGTTCCTCCCACGAGTGATACATCAAGTATATACAGCTTTAAGCAACAGTTTTTCCCCCTCACGAGTGATACATCAAGTATACCCAGCTTCAATCAACAGTAGGTTCCCCCCACGAGTGATGCATCAAGTATCCCCAGCTTTAATCAACAGTAGTTCCTCCTACGAGTCTTACATCAAGTACACCTAGCTTTAATGAACAGTTTTCCCCTTACGAGTAATACATCAAGTATACTCAGCTTTAATTAACAGTATTTCCTCCCACGAGTGATACATCAAGTATACCCAGCTTTAATCAACAGTAGGTTCCCCTCACGAGTGATACATCAAGTATACCCAGCTTTAATCAACAGTAGCTCCTCCCACGAGTGATACATCAAGTATACCCAGCTTTAATCAACAGTAGGTTTCCCCACGAGTGATGCATCAAGTATCCCCAGCTTTAATCAACAGTAGTTCCTCCGACGAGTCATACATCAAGTATACCCAGCTTTAAGCAACAGTTTTTCCCCCTCACGAGTGATACATCAAGTATACCCAGCTTTAATCAACAGTAGGTTCCCCCCACGAGTGATGCATCAAGCATACCCAGCTTTAATCAACAGTAGTTCCTCCCACGAATGATACATCAAGTATACCCAGCTTTAATCAACAGTAGTTCCTCCCACGAGTGATACATCAAGTATACCCAGCTTTAATCAACAGTAGTTCCTCCAACGAGTGATACATCAAGTATACCCAGCTTTAATCAACAGTAGGTTCCCCCCGTGAGTGATGCATCAAAAAATATCCCCAGCTTTAATCAACAGTAGTTCCTCCGCGAGTCATACATCAAGTATACCCAGCTTTAAGCAACAGTTTTTCCTCCTCACGAGTGATACATCAAGTATACCCAGCTTTAATCAACAGTAGGTTCCCCCACGAGTGATGCATCAAGCATGCCAGCTTTAATCAACAGTAGTTCCTCCACGAGTGATACATCAAGTATACCAACAGCTTTAATCAACAGTAGTTCCTCCCACGAGTGATACATCAAGTATGCCCAGCTTTAATCAACAGTAGGTTCCCCACGAGTGATGCATCAAGTATACCCAGCTTTAATCAACAGTAGTTCCTCCCACGAGTGATACATCAAGTATACCCAGCTTTAATCAACAGTAGGTTCCCCACGAGTGATACATCAAGTATACCCAGCCTTAATCAAAGTGATACATCAAGTATACCCAGCTTTAATCAACAGTAGTTCCTCCCACGAGTGATACATCAAGTATACCCAGCTTTAATCAACAGTAGTTCCTCCCACGAGTGATACATCAAGTATACCCAGCTTTAATCAACAGTAGTTCCTCCCACGAGTGATACATCAAGTATACCCAGCTTTAATCAACAGTAGGTTCCCCACACGAGTGATACATCAAAATATACCCAGCTTTAATCAACAGTAGTTCCTCCACGAGTGATACATCAAGTATACCCAGCTTTAATCAACAGTAGTTCCTCCTCACGAGTGATACATCAAGTATACCCAGCTTTAATCAACAGTAGGTTCCCCCACGAGTGATGCATCAAGTATACCCAGCTTTAATCAACAGTAGTTCCTCCCACGAGTGATACATCAAGTATACCCAGCTTTAATCAACAGTAGTTCCTCCCACGAGTGATACATCAAGTATACCCAGCTTTAATCAACAGTAGGTTCCCCACGAGTGATACATCAAGTATACCCAGCTTTAATCAACAGTAGTTCCTCCCACGAGTGATACATCAAGTATACCCAGCTTTAATCAACAGTAGTTCCCCCCACGAGTGATACATCAAGTATACCCAGCTTTAATCAACAGTAGGTTCCCCCACGAGTGATGCATCAAGTATACCCAGCTTTAATCAACAGTAGTTCCTCCCACGAGTGATACATCAAGT